GCCTGTACAGCATTCAAACGATTCGCGCTGAATGGAAAACGTGACGTTGGTCCGCAAAACAATATTTATGAGATGCCAACTAAGTTCACGTCTTTTCAAGCAAAAAAAGAAAACTTTAACTTCTGTACATGCATTAATAAAATAAGAAATGTCTTTGTAGCCGTCTACATCTTGTGGCATGCCGCGATCGGCCTCACTGGCAGCGGGGAGGTTGCGAAATGGGGATGTGACAGATGTAAGTTGCTCCAGTAGGTGGTAAAGATGACGTTTATTTACTGCCATCCCCATAGAGATTTTGAGACACAGCGCATACTTGTTGAAAATGAGTTCCACCTAAAAGTTGTATTAAATAAGCATACTGACTATACCTTTGACAAATGTAATATCCTTCGACACACGTAATATGTATTTTTTACAAAGGAGATTCAATGTCATACTTTTGTAGAAGCGTCACAAAATCACCTTTTCTTTCAATATCATTATTTTCAGTATCACTGAAGAGTAATTAAGAGAATATGTACATCTAATTCCCTGAAAGTGATTTTGGTCCTCACTACACCCATTAGCGCTCAAACTTTTTTTTCCTACTACATTGTCCTTATGAGCCATTGAGTACCTATCTGTTGCTTATAGTTCTTTAAAGAGTTTAATAGCTATATTCTTATAAGCTTTGCAAGCGCTGATGTGCTGTACAATTAGGATACTCTCAACTAACAGCTGGTGCAAATAAAGGCCGTGAAAATGAATGTGCCCCTGAAAACAAATCAAAGATAGTTCTAACAAGACTATAAACTTTTTGATGATCATTTAATACTGTGTTCAGTTTATAATATCATTTGATCCAGATGTTTTTGCCAGAATTACGTTCGAGTCAATTTTCCATCATAAACCCAGGCTATTGAAGATCCGTTTCTCACTGAGAAACCTCAGTACAGTCTAGCAATCCAGCTAAATCATTAGGGTTGATAAAAATTGAATATAAAGTATTAACCAGTAAGCAGGCATCACATTTGGAATACCGCTGGCTCACTTCAAATTCCTTATATATGTGCAACTTCAATGGATCAAAAATTTCACGGGACGCCTATCAATTAACAAAGTCAAATTTGCCCGATTTTTGGATCTACCGCTATCGACAGCCTTGGCACAATAACGGTAGCTTTTGCCTAATATTGACTGATCAAGTGTAGGGCGGAGGTGGAAGA